GCATTAGCATCAATGGGCGCCTCAGAAAAGGAGCCCGTTTGCACAATGTCTCGACTACCAGCAGGTGCTAAGATCGCAAGAGGTGGACGCAAAATTCGGCTTGAATAAGCAAGCGCCTACGCTCCTTCGGCAGCTCACAACTAATCTTTGATTGTGGGTGACCTCCTGGAAACAGACTTATACATAGCCTTCTACGCGGACATTGAATTTATATTGTCAAAACACAAAACAACGAACTGTCCTGGCACACGAGATAGTGGCTCAGGCAGTATTAGATTGCACAAAACTCTTTAGTCTGCAGTTGTCCCTAGAACAAAAATGGAAAGCATGTATTCTTAGAATGGTGCTGGATAACCTATGATCATTTTCTCATCCTTTGATTTTACTCCTTTGTTTTGCTTGAAAACACACCCGGCGCTCAATTAGGGGCCTGTGAATAGCCCATACGATGAAATAACTAACCAGCATATCAAGATGCAGTATTTGATGTCGTCATCTTTGCTGAGCTCCTCCCAATTGTGTTGGCCCCCAAAGAAACGGGGTCAAAACATATGGAGGAGGTATATAGGTGCCTGGACTTCGTATTTTATGTAAAGTCTTGACTCCATGTACAAGGCTTAGCTAAAAACGACCACTTCTTTGAAAAGTTGACCTAGTCTTCTAGAGATCCTGCTGAATCCTCCGCCCTCCCGGACAATATAACATATAGGTAAGACATGATATGAAAGTCTATGCTCAGGGGCGCGGCGTGCCAGCGCCGCTACCTGTATCTTCACGAGGGGTGCCGTTGACGATCTTCTTCTTCTTCTTCTTCTTCCTGGGGATGACGGCCGGCTTGGCGCCGTAGTTGCCCAATGCGAGCTTGGTGCCGCAGGTCAGGCACTCGGTGTTCTCCGGCACCTCGCAGAATATGCTGAGGCATATGGAGCAGATGAAGCCGGTGTCGACGACCTTGCCGTGGCAGAAGCAGGCCGCGCGGAAATCCACCTTGTCGTGGGTGGCGGGGATGAGGGACTGGCGGGCCTCGGTGTCGGCGATGAGGCCGAACATGAGGTAGGTGAGCAGGCCCTGCGGGTTCGAGGCGGCCAGGAAGGTCCCGTTTGTGTTGAAGCACGCCTGCTGCAGGAAGGTAGAGTCGCCGGATAAGGAGAGGGTATCAATGGCTATTTGGGAGTGCGCGGCCGCAAACACGGCGTTCATAGTCGGGATGTACTGGGCCGGCTCGGAGTCGGAGACAGAAATGACGAGGATGCGGCCCTTCATCGGATTGGTTGCCGCGCTGGACTTGGTATGGTCCTCGAGGTTGGTGCCAGCAGCACTGAGCTGTTGCGAAGCCTTGTGGATGTGGCAGAGGGCAAGTGTCAAAGCCCCTGACAGCTGTGTCGTGGTGGTCTCGAGATCCTCCCCGGTCGTTTCGTCGGTGAGTTTCCGTAATGATGCGAGCACTGCTGCCTCTATCTGGGCGAACTGGGGGAACTTGTTTGCCGAGCCGGGCGGAGCGCTCGTCGAGGCATCTTGCATCTGGACATCGCCCGAGGTGTCTGTCGGTTTCTTCGCCGTGGGCGGGGAGGGATAGAGCCATACGGCCCGGTTCACGTGTGCGGCGAAGATGGCTACCTGGTTCGAGTTGCTGAAGGCGAGGTGGGCGTTGACGAAGACGAGGATGTTAGCTATCGCCTTGGACAGAGGTAGGACGTTGCCCAGGGCAGCCCAAGCTCTCGGGTTGGTGTCGAGGACGATGGAGAGGAGTGAAGGGGTCTCTTCGGAGGTTGTGACCTCGTAGTGGTCCGACACATCGACGGCATCCATGTTGAGTGCCTAACACTCAAGCCATGTGCGAACACAGCTACGAGGTCGCTTTGCGTGGGAGTTGGATGGAGGGTTGAGCCTAGGCTGTGTAACCAATCGACGATTTTGGCGATCTTCTTAGTGAAGCATGACGACGTGAGGAACCCAGGACCTCAGATGATTGGTTTCGACGATATTCTATGGGAAATATGATGGTTGGGTTGGGGGTGTGGAATTCTTCAGCGGTATCGCAGTGCTGGACTTTCTGATGGAGATGAACGAACTAGCGCGTGTCAGTCACTTTAAAATTCACGGCGCGAAGTCACGTCTTGCGATTCGAGATCGCATCGGCACGTACCACCAGCACCGGTGCCTAGTCGGGGTTACAGGGTAGGCAGAAGAGCAGGCTATTCTATTACGTGCGGCGATTATCATTAGGTAGTGACGCAAGAATGCAGGAGGTATGGCGGGGCTCTGGCCTGCTGATTGCTCCCCTCAGCTGCCTGATCCACTGGCAAAGGGTGCTGGTAGCACTGATAAGGCTGATCGATAAGAGAACCCTTGACAGCTCGTTTAGCTCTCGCAGATCTTCATTGGATGCCATCACTGAGTGATACATCCTACATGTTACTTTGATGGTGTAAACCCCTCTGGCTGCTGGAATATTCTCTCCGCACATCCCTCCTGCCAGCGAACCTGGTCTTTTTATACCTAATCCCCCCAGCGTCCTGAATACTCATTTCCTCCTGGCTTTTTTTGTCTTGTCATATCACTCACGGACATTACACATCGTGCTTCTGGTGCCTAGTGGCTTTCTTTCCTTTTTCTCTAGTGTATGCTCCTTTTATATCTGGTTTCAGAGTCTCAGCCGGACACGACCCCCCTTTCCAAAAGTTTGCTACACTTCTACCATGGCGTCTGTAGCTGAGACGCTCCAGCGGACGGGCCCATCGGCCACTCTAGAGGATCAGACTCTGATTCTGCTTGCGCGATTGATGGAAGGTGGGCGCGAGGATGACGAGACGTGCAGGGATCTCGATGAACTCACCCGCCTGCTCAACGACGACGCAGAGGCCCAAACAAAGAACAAAAACCACCAGAGCATCTGCAAACTTATTGATGGCGACTGTGTCGACACGGTTCTCTGCTATCTGGACATGAGGCAAGAAGATGTCGTCCGCAGCCATGCCATCCTCACCACCTCAGCCTACCTCAAAGCTGCAGGCCAGGACGGTGGAAAGGCCTTGTCTGCGTTCTTTTTTGATCGTGTCAAGAGAGGCACATATGATGACTACATTGTCGCTTTCTGCGTAGCCGCAGCTACATTCCCGATTGTCCCGGATCTGACTACCGATCTGTTTCTCAGCGAGGGTTTCCTCGCGTCTCTTGCTCCACTTATGAGGCGGAAATGGAAGAGTCGCAAGGTGGAAACCGCTTGCTTAGAGATGCTGAACGCCGCATCCATGAACCAACATTGCCGAGAGGCCATCCAGAAGTACTGTGTCGAGTGGCTGGAGGAAGTAGTCGACCAGGAACCGACGGAGGTGGTCCGCAGTATGAACCACGACCCCAATGTTCAGAGCGAAGGTGGCTCTATTTCCATGAGGAGGCACTCAGAGCAGGTCCAGAACCTAGCAGCCGTCATTCTAGCAAAACTGAGGGTAGGTCAACCAGCGCCAACTTGTCTTCGATTCTGAAGGGGCAGATTTATTTGTCTATCTAGTTGTCGATAGCTGACTGACTTAGATTCAAGGCTGTTCCGACCAAGCCGGCGGGGGCTGATCCAAACCAACCGAAAGTCGACTATGCAGTTTCAAGTATCGAGGATCTCTCCAACCTCTTCACCAACATGATCCTCAAGGACGAGGATCACTCCCGTCAGCACTCCATTGAAGGCTTGGCCTATGCCTCTCTGCAAGCGACGGTCAAAGAGAGCATTATCGATAACGAGAAACTCTTAAAACATCTGGTTCAAGTCTTATCACAAGCAAAGCCCAGATCAACGACGGTCTATGGATCTCTTAGCATTTTTGTCAATCTTACACGGTACCTGCCTGTGCTTTCGGAAGAGGACAAGAAGATGAATCAGTTGAAGGCGTACGCGAACGCGGCTGGCAAACAAGGGAAGCCGGATCCTTTGAATGAAGATGATCGTGTATCTCGAAGGTGCAAGGCTGTCTTTAATGCAGGAATCGTTCCAGTTCTTGTTGCGCAAAGCAAGCATAGCTCTCCTGCCGCTCTAGCTCTGACTGTGTCCATTGTCCACTCCCTGGCCGTGACAAAGACCATCCGCGGGCAGCTGGCCCAGCAGGGCGCCGTTACACTCCTCCTCGCCTGCTGGGCAGCGCTCCCGGAATCCGAGGACCCTCCCCGGCGCCTGGCTGCCCAGGCTCTTGCCAGAATCCTCATCAGCACAAACCCCGCGCTCGTATTCGGCGGCAATAGGGCCAACGGCGTCAGCGTCGCCATCCGTCCTCTTGTTGCCATCCTTCCCCCTGACCCAGCGGCTGAGCGCCGTGATCTACTCCCGTCCTTTGAGAGCCTCATGGCCCTGACCAACCTAGCATCCCTGGATGATGAGGACACACGCCGTATCATCATCCGCTCGGCTTGGACGCAGATAGAAGAGCAGCTGCTCTCTTCTAACGCATACGTGTCCAAAGCCGCCGTCGAGTTGGTATGTAATCTCATGCAGGCCCCAGAGGGCGTGGCCCTGTACGCGGACGAGAGCTCGCAGGCCAAGAACCGCCTCCACATCCTCCTCGCCCTCGCTGACGCGGAGGACGAGGGGACGCGCAGCGCGGCGGGTGGAGCGCTCGCTTCGTTGACCGGGTTCGAGTCGGTTGTGCGTTGCATCGTCGCGCGGGAGCGTGGCGTCAAGGTCATCCTGGGCATGTGCGTCGACGACAACGAGGATCTGAGGCACCGCGGCGTGGTGACGATTCACAACATGGTGTCTGCGGAGGGCAAGACGGGCGTGGAGGCGCAGGAGAAGGTCAAGGAGGAGGACGGCGTGGAGGTGATGAAGGAGTGTTTAAAGAAGAGCAGGCGGCCGGAGGTGTTGCAGGTCACTGTGCAAGCCCTTAAAACGTTACTTGGCCAGACATAAGAATAGCATTAAAGAGGTTATATAAAAGAGATATTCATTTTACGTCGCTTTTATTTTCAGATTTCTCTCATATTGGGAATATCTAAATCTTACATCGCCGCCTTTACTCTTCAACCCGGTTGAGGATAGCGACGCCTTCTACATGCCCGGTCTGGGGGAAGAAGTCAAACCCAACCAAGCTCTCCATCTCATACCTGCGGCCCTCCCCCTCGCCCCTGACGAGGACGCCCACGTCGCGGGCCTGCGTGTGCACGTTGCAGCTGACGTAGACGACCCGCTTGGGGCCGAACCGCGTCAGCTGCCCGAGGAAGTCGGCGTCGCAACCCTTGCGCGGCGGGTCGAGCACCACGACGGTCTCGTCGGCGTCGTACCTGATGTTCTTGAAGAGCTCGCCGGCGTCGGCGGCGATGAAGCTGCAGCGGTCCTCGTCGAGGCCGTTGAGCGAGGCGTTCTGGCGGGCCGAGGCGATGGAGTCGGCGGCGATGTCGATGCCCGTCGAGTGCTGGAAGACGGAGGACATGGTGATGGTGAAGAGGCCGGAGCCGGAGTAGGCGTCGATGAGGTACTTGATGTTCCCCTTATCGGCGTCCAGGGGAGGGAGGATGCGGTCGCGGATGTAGGCTGTGAATTTGGGGAGGATGGAGTTGTTGTTCTGGAAGAAGGAGCCCGCGGGGTTGGTGAAGGTGTAGTTGTCAATGTATTCGGTGGTGGTGGCTTTGTGGTCCGTCTCGCAGGTCTTGATGTCGACGAAGCTGTCGGTCTCTGTTCTCACGGTACACGGAGGAGTCTGGCCCTCTTGGGGCGCGTCTGGGCTGTCTTTGCTATGCCGGTTTGTGTTCTCACGGAGGAGGATTGTGGCTCCGCGATTGTAGTTCTTGAACTCATTCTTCATCCTCTCCCTCTCTCGTGTCATGCCTAGGTTGACAGCGCTCGTGCCAATAGGGCACTCTTCAATATCGATGACTTTCCGCCTCCCCTTGAGCATGAAGCCGATGTCTGGACACGTCTCAAAGGACGCGCGGGGATTCTTCCCGCCTTTGCTGGGTCTGAACCCTGGGGGCCCGTCAAAGTGTGGTGTTAACTTAGTGCGGTATCCGTACTGTAGAGGGCTGCCAATGGTATCCTGGATGGTTGGTACGAGTTCTGTAGGGAGGTTGGAGAAGTTTTGGTAGGCCTTTTCAAGCACCCGCTTCTTTAAGTTCAGTTGCTCGGGGTAGTCGAGCATCTGGAACTGGCAGCCGCCGCACTGCGAGAAGTATTTGCACTTGATCCGTGAGTCATCGCGAAGCGGCGACGGCTTGGCGATGGAGATGTAGTCGGCTTGGGTCATGTTATCGCGCAGCATATGGCGATAGACCTTGACTTTGACGATGTCGCCAGGGACAGTAAAGGGGACAACGTAGACCTGGTCGGAGCCGGGGCGCATGGCGAGGCCGTCACCTGTTGAGGAAAGCTCCAGCACTTCCACTTCAGTCTCGGTCCCCTCCTCTGGAAGATCCAACTGCGCCGAGCCATTGGCCTCAGCGCCTTCAGCGCCTTCGTGGCTGGCCTCTGCCCCATTAGCAGCCTGGGATTTCCGGGATTCCAAGAGGGCCTTGATGTCTAGTCTTAGAATATCTTCCGAGGACCCTTCTGTGATATTCTTCTCCCGCTTAGTCTTCTTTGGCTTCCATTTCCTATTGGGGCCATCAAAGTTTCTCTTTGGAGGCCGGGAATTGCCGTTGGCTTGAGCCGCTGTTCCAGGTTGGGATGAAGCCATCGCAGATGCCATAGATGGTCCTGCGACCAAGGAAGCGTGACGCTTCGGTAAAGTGAACGGGCTAGCCGTTACAGCTCCTGAATGTGAAGAAATTCGATAGGATGTGAGTCTCAAGGGAAGTTTAAGCAATCGCATTGAGGTGCTGGCTCTGTTTATCGGTGATACTTAGATGCCAGTATGTACGTTGTTCATCGATCATCTTCCTTCTCGAAACTTTTTTTTTGGTATGAATCCGGTACGTACTTCGGAAATTGTGGGGCTGCGGTTCCAAGTGCATGGTAATTGTATTGAGGAATCCGCTCATTGGCTGGAGTGCAAATCGGGGAAGCCTTCTTTTGATGTACCTTGTACCTTATCGATTGGCGATACTTCCATGAGGTACAAAACGAGACCCTTGTTCGAGTTCAGGATGGATGCTGATGATAGAGAAAGGCAGTAGGATCGATATCGATCTCCTACATACCAGCAGTAGGATTACTAGCTTCAATCCGTCGCTATGGGCTGTGCTGGCGCGAGACACCTAATCCCCTGCCCAGGTACCTCACCTTATCCAGTCCAGGTGACTCCTCGGGGAGCATCTTATCGGGATGCTATAACTGGCTGTTCCTTCGCGACTTGCTCGGTAAGAAGTACCTGCAGATAACGGTGCCAACGGTGGAAATCTTCCCCAGGAAACCTAGAATTTCCCCCGAGCCGCCTATAAAATATAAAACGCACAACGTGCCTTCATTACCGTGGCGCGGTCTTTCACGATGCCCGACCGAAATTGATCGATCCGCTCCGCAGATGGCGAATCGGCCGAGGCGCTGATTGGCTGCGGAAGGCTGCCAATTACTGGAGACGGCGATTCATGTGCCGGGATCTGCTTTGTGTGTGTGTATTATTAGGGAGGAGATAAGACACACCCGTCCCTAGATACCTAATATATTACTATTGTTGTCTTGTGACCCGAGTTGTCCCCCGTTTGTCCTACCTCCCCGGACGCCGGTCTTGTGATTTCTGCTGGTCTTACACTGGAGGGAGGGAAGCTTGGCTGCTCTCATTTCATCATCCTGCGAGGCGAAGACGTGCGCAGCAGAGCATCGTGTCTATCTATCGGTCTCCGACAATCGGAACGATAAGCTGAGTGAGTGTGTGTAGGGCTGCGTCTCTCTTTTCCGCTCAAGGGTGTATTAGGACAGGATGCGTGAGTGAACAGCAAGCTAGAAAAAGCTCCCCCGGCCAATTATTCCCAACTAACCCTGGCCTCGCCGATCTCCGTAGCAATATCACAGGTGTTGAACCATGCCGTCCGTCTGTTGTTGGCAACGTCCCTCCACCATGGCCTGTCGCTAGGTGCGGCGCTCAACCCGGGCTTCGTCTACCAGAATAACATCTCTCCCGATTTTATTGGGGGAGTAGCTAGTGAGGCCATCGAGTGTAGCACCATTGGCAGAGATCTCCTTGCCAGAGGGGTATGTGTACCTACCTTACTTTTCCTTCCCATCCGCTCCCAAGATACCAGTTCCCAGCTACAATTACTTGTTCACTAACAGGAACAAAGGGCAATGCCGTTGACGCGCTCGTCGGCACAACATTCTGTGTCGGCGTGATTGGCATGTACCACTCCGGCATTGGCGGCGGAGGCTTTGTGCTTGTTCGAGATGCCAAGGGCAACTACGAGGCCATCGACTTCAGAGAGTCTGCCCCGGCTGCGGCCTTCCAGGACATGTACCAGGGTAACATCGCGGGAAGCGTCTACGGGGGTCTCTCGGCCGGCGTGCCAAGCGAGGTCCGAGGTCTCGAGTACACCCACAAGAAATACGGCGTGAGTTTCACGCTCTTCGCAAATTGCGCCAGCTCTCGCTAATGTTGTATGAATTTAGAGCTTGCCATGGGATGTCGTTATGGAGGGTGCTATTCGAGTGGCAAGGGATGGCTTCAAAGGTGGGTTTTCGGTTCATTGCTGCAATAGTAGGGTTTACTAACATGTTCCCATCGCAGTCTCGGAGGATTTTATCAGGTATTGCAACAGAGCTACCAGCGACGGTCCCGGATTTCTTGTCGATGACCCTGTATGGGCTGAAGACTTTGCTCCAAATGGTTTGCGGCCTTGATATCCTTGTGTTTCCGTATCATGTCTAACACTCACCCAGGAAAACTTTTGGAAGTTGGTGAAACCATGACCCGGAAGCGCTACGCGAAGTCAGTCACCTCTTCCTCCCTGGCTTCCTTGGGCTCCCGACTGACGTTTATAATAGGACCTTGGAAACGATCGCCAGGCATGGCGCTGATGCGTTCTATACCGGAAAGATTGGTATGTCGATGTATGTCCAAAGTTGTTGGCACTTGAAACTAACCACCGATCAACAGCCGAGTCCATGATTGCCGTCATCCAGGAAACAAACGGCACCATGACTCTCGACGACTTAAGAGACTACCAGGTCATCTCTAGAGACGTTGCCAAGGTTTCCTACAGAGGCGTAGATCTCCACGGCATCAGCGCACCGGCTGGCGGCGCCGTGTGTCTCAGCATCCTGAAGACCATGGAGCAGTACGACCTGGAAGATTGGCAAGACGTCGACCTGACCACCCACCGCCTCGTCGAGTCCATGCGCTTCGCATACAGTGCTCGGCTTCAGCTGGGTGACCCGAGCTTCGTCGACCACATGAACAGCTTCCAGTCGCAGATGATCAGCGACAAGAACGCCAGGGATATCCGCAACCGGATTCTAGACAACCAAACATTGCCGGTCACGGAATACGACCCTCTCAAGATCTACACCACAGACAGCCATGGAACTTCTCACATCTCCACCGCCGACAGTTCCGGGATGGCAACGTCCCTTACCACAACTGTCAACCTCCTCTTTGGTGCTCAAATCATGGACCCAGAGACTGGCGTCATCATGTAAGCTATCACTTTTGCCCCTGAGATGTAATAAGATACATCGATAAGACAAGCCCTCCTAACTGAGCCCGAACGTATAGTAACAATGAGATGAACGACTTCTCAATCCCCGGCGTCCGCAACGAGTTCGGCTTCGAGCCCTCGGAAGCCAACTTCGTCCGCCCCAACAAGCGGCCCCTCTCGTCCATCACCCCCGTCATCGCCGCCCTCCCGGACGGCACCCTGCTGGCGACGGTCGGCGCCGCGGGCGGCTCCCGCATCATCTCGTCCACGGCGCTGGCCCTCTGGCACACCCTCGAGCACGGCATGTCGCTCACGGACGCCATCGGCGAGCCCAGGGTGCACGACCAGCTCATGCCGAACCACGTCCTGGTCGAGTACGCGTTCGACAACTCGACCGTGGACGGCCTGGTGGAGAGGGGCCACAACATCAAGTACGTGGCTCCCGGTCTCAGCGCCGTCCAGGGCGTGTGGCGCCACGGCGACGGAGTCTTCGAGGCGGCGAGTGAGCCCAGGCAGAAGAACAGCGGAGGCGTCACTGTATAGATGTATTAGATCGGATATAGACAGCGCTAGATTCCTTGCAGTCACATAGCCCTTGCATTGTTTCAGCGGCCAGAATTTATATGAAACACACGATTATTTGTTTGAAAATGGAATGATTTCAACCGCACAGCCCGCACGCCGTGTCTCTCTACAAAAGAAGGGGGTATCCTTGATCTATCTATAGTGCCAACCCAATGTATTGCTAAAACGCTGTTCCTCAGTGCGCCAGCGCCACCAGCCGATCCAGGTGGATCAGCCACTGGCGGGCGAATTCCTCCTCTGTGAATCGCTTTGCGGACTTTCGAGCTCGAAGACGGACGGCAAGAGGGTCGGGAAGCGAGAGGGCCTTCTCATAGCCCTCGGCGAACTCCTCCACCGATGTAGCATGGAATCCTAGTTGCGCATGAATCAGTACATATCTCTTGACCCAACAAGCGAGCTCCATTGTACGGCACGAAAGGAAACCTACCTGTAGGCTCGCCATCAATCTCAATGACAATATCTAGCTTGGGGCCACCGCTGTTGTGAACAACGGAAATAAGGCCGGCTGCCTGGTACTCGACCACGCCAATGCCGAAATGCTCGTTCCACATGCCGTTGACGCCGACGGATGCCTTGCGGAGCCATTCTAGGATCTCTGGCCACGAGGCATCGAGGTGGAATTCGACACGGTCCTTAATGTGCAGCTCGTTCACCATTAGTCGAAGTTCGTACACCCTCTTTTTATCCTGGTCGCCCCGGACACTGCCGATCAACACCAGCTTCGCATCCTCCGCAGCCTTGGTTCCCGATTTGATGAATTTGGCAAAGGACTGGATGATGAGCTGGTGGTTCTTCTCCGGTCGGAACTGGGCAATGTAGACTATCGCATTCTGACGCTCCTTCTCGCTCGCTTTAGATACCTCCACCTCCTGCTCCATCTCCTCCACCGCACAGGGCGGGTAGACGGCAGTGATGGGGTGGTCCTTGTCCTTCTCGGCACGCAAGGGGCCCCATAGTGACTTGATGTGGGCGGAGGTCCAGGTTGAGTTTGTCATGACCACGTCGATGGAGGAGCCTACCCAGGAATAGATGCGAGCAAACAGCTGCCAGTATGCCTTCTTCAACGAGCCCCGAGTACCAACACCCCTTCCGGCGTTCACTCCGAGAGAGCCGACAGCCGAATTGGGATCCAGGGAGTCCAGCATATCCGTGGATATCGTGGGATAGTGGACATAGGCACCTGTTGGCATACGAGGGAAGAGCAGTTTGGCCAGTCCGAGCGTGAAGGCATACCCCATCGTATCGATGAAGATATCAGGGACCAGCAGAGAGAATGCGTCCCAGCCCAGCACTACTGAACCGAGGGACTGACCAAGGAGGGTAAAGTGAGGCCATGTAGAGCTGAGAACCCAGTGGCGCTTCGAAAGATACAGAAACTGGACTGTAGGGGCATGTAGGTTGATGTTGAACCTGCTCTGTTGGGATGTAAGCAATCGGGGACAGGTTGTGATGTGTTAGTGAGAGGTGGATCTATTCTGACCTTGACCCGAGACAGGATCTGTTCTTTGTTCACTTCATGATC